CTCTGGTGGATGAAAGGTTAAGCAGCAGGCCCACTAGAAAACGAAAACCCCAGTTCCTCACAATGAGTCCGTCCAGGATATTTATTGTACACTTTGCTTTCGTGTTAGTGGAACATGGAGACTTGTGGACAAAACATATTTTGCCTGTTTTTTATACCTTTGTTTGTTGTTAATACATCTGATCTCTATATTCGATGTGATGGTGTATGTGTTGGTTTTCTAAAGAAAAGACTCATGAGTGTGTAGAAACTATAGAAATGTGGCTGTTGGGAACACAAATACTCATAATTGAAATGTTAAGACAAAAAGATAAAATATATTATTAAATTTATTTAGAAATATTTTTATATATTTAATTGTGGATTTATTTTACTTTTTCTCTTCATTTTGTAACACTGTTTTAAATTTTACAATAAAGGGGAAAGCAAACTGCAATTAATTCTTATGGTTTAAAATAGTAAAAAAAATAATTCATATATGGTGATATAATATAAATGTTGTTGTTCTGAAACGATTATTTAGTTGTTTTGTTTTTTTTTAATCTGAAACAAATTTACTTGAATGACATCCTTAATTTGTAAAAACATCCTTCCTTCTCACTTTCATCCTTCTCATACCTGCTTCCTGGCACGCACTAGCACCAATCCTAGCCACCGGCCTTTGGTTCTTATTTTGTGGCATATTTTCTTAAGAAGTGCCAAGGCTATGTGTTTACTTGGGATCCTCCTGAGATTATGCCATATACCACAAAGTGGCGTCACATTCTACTCCGCTCATTCGACTCGCCGCCACGAGTTAACAGTTCTCATTCGCTGGATACACCTCACTACCTACAGTCTCTTTGGAATGACACTTCCAGACCTATAAATGCATTTCCATTAAATCCTGTGCTTAGATGGATTTGAATCCAAGGCATTTGTGTAGTGGTGTGTTAGTCCGACCACTCAACTACGGGTTCTTTTATTTAGTTATTGAGCATTCAATTATGGAATTTTAACTTTTGACTAACTCAGGATTACCCAAAAGCAAAAAAGAGAAGCAAATTTGTAATAAAGTCTAGAAAGCGAAAATAAAATTTAGATGTTTTAAAAATAAGCAAATAGAAAATAAAAATTGTACCAAACATACATTATGTGTACTTTTTAGACAAAAAAAAATCCCCCAAACATATGTCATCAAAAATAAACTGTTGTCTCAAATACAATCTAAAAGACAAAATTTGTATGACTTTCTATTTTTACAGATTTAAAAAAATATATATTTTTACAAAAATAAAAGTTGTTGTAATTTTACCATTATAATCATAGGCATGATTGGTTATTATTCATTAACAAAAAAAAAAATAAATTAAATAAATTTTTTTGAGAAAAACACTAATAATTGTGTTTTTTGTTGCCCTAAATATGAATGGCAACAAAATGAAAGATGAAGAAGAAAACTACAGCATAATGTGTTGCAAATGTGGGATGAATATACTCCCAAATTGTTTTAATATGTGCACCAGGTGTAAAAGTACAGAAATTGATATAACAAAAGGCATCAGTTTATCATGTACTATAGAGAGTTGTAAAAAACGTAAAAGAAATTTGATACCACCAAAAAAGTGTGTTTTTCTGGAAATGGAAACAGACCTGCTCTCATTTTTGTTGATTAGACATAAACATCTAAGCAATCTTCATATTTTGAGCACGTGTTTTAGAAAGACGCAGGAGCATTCATGAAGAACAGTTCTGGGTCTTGAAATTGAGAAGGAAGGTATTAAGTGCTACACTGACATTACTTACAAAGAAAGAAATAAACAGTGCTCAGATTGTGATAAGATTGAAACAAAACAATATTAGATGAGTATTATGCAGATCAGAGAGAGACCAAACAGTAAACGCACATTCTTGTACTTAGAACAAGTTATCCTTAAACATAAAATGTATGACAGCTGCACAAATATAAAAGAGAGAAAATATGGAATTGATTTCTACTACTTGGACAAAAACAGTGTAAGTAGAATGATTAGTTTCTTAGAGACTCATATAGGAACAAGGCTTCTTGTGTCTAAGAAGTTAATAACTGAAGATAGGAACAATAAGAAGATGAAGTATAAATTTAGTTACTCTGTTGAGATATTTTCACTGTGTAATTTTAGATGAGGAATTCGCCAAGAAACAATGTATTAGTAGAATACTGCTTGTTGCAATAGTGACAAGAAAGATTACGTTAGTCAACCCGCTTACAGGTAAAAAACTTAACATAAGCAACACATGTTATTGGGCAAACAAGGATTGCTTTAAGGTTGTAATGTCTTCAAAAGAGCTGGTGACATTTAGTGTCTGAAACTGAAATTAACTATGAAAAATTGTGCTGTGCAAATGAAGAAAAGATGACAAATGATGTCTATAGTAGTTGATTGTTACAAAGGAAATAAACAAAGAGGTGCATTGCAAATCAGACCTGGGAAATATTTTAAAAGAACAAGACGAGGTTTATGGTTATCACTTGGAAAACTGTAACATGCACTTGATTGATAAAGACATGTTCCAGGCCGTTTTGGTAAGGAAAATATATATATTAAAAAATTTATCCATTAAAACGGATAGAGAACATGACAGGGAATACCAGTTTTCATTAGAGGACATGATAGAAGATAATGAACTGAGGAAAAGTGTTGATTTGTACCATAGCACTAATCAGGTCATCAAAGATTCAGAAGTGATGAAATTTTAATTTAAAATATTTCTCCTGCTTTTATTTTATTGATTCATAAGTTTAACAAGCAGATAATTTAAAATAGTTGCATTTTGGTGGTTTAAAGAATATATAAATGACATTTTCTGTAGTTTCAATGTAGCACGGTATAAATTTATTTCTCAGTAAAACTATCAAAATTTCTATTTTTATTAATTTTGTTCTAAGTTTGCATCTGTCGTTCATTTTATTTTTTTTAGACAAAAGTTACACTTTTAGTTATTTCTTTCCTGTACAATTTCTCGTCATTAAAGTATTTACTGTAAATTTAAGTGGACTTAAAAAATTGTGCTAAATAATAACAGCCTGATGTTTATAGTGAAATACAAGGCAAATTAATTTAATTAAAAAAAATGTTTTATGTCAAAGCTAAGGTAGGCATAGCTCGCCAGACTTTTGCAATGAGGAAGTGAGGAGCTATGGAATAGTTATTCAGTAAAAGTAGTTTTTTTACGTTGAGAAGAGGTTTTATTCGTATTAAATGATGTTCCTTTATGTGTCATATAAATGCAATGTTCTTTGTATCACAGTCAAGGTGTTTTTCTGTGCAGCTGGAAAAGGTGTACAAATTAATGAACCAAGATGTGTCTACTGAAGTAAGTTTCCCAGGGTTGCTGAACTTCCCCAGACAGTTATTTGGGAACTTGCTGTTTTTCCCGTGCCCTTCTCTGCATGGAGATAGAGTGTTTAGTTTTCACCTCCCATAGACATTACAGTGAATAAGCATACAAGGTTCCGTATGTTTTGCTTTGTTTCTTTTGTTTGGTCTTAGAAGATCGAGTCTCCGCCTCGGTAGTAAGGAGAGATGAATAAAGTAACTATGCAACTCTGGGTTCCTCAGAGCGGATCCTAATTTGTGCCTAACCTAATGCAGTGGATTTCTTGCTCTCCTTCTGCAGATGTATTAAAGATTGTTTTTGCTCCCTGACTTTTGTCTGGACCTCAGTCTCTGAATTGTGCACTTCACAACGTCAAGCTGTGGGACATGTGGGGGACATGTTTTAATAGCATATTCACAAAAAAACAAACAAAATAACACAACCAGTGTAGATTTTCTTCTAAAGAAATGTATTGTTTATACTAAATTAATACTGATTTTGTTGATAAGCTGTCCTATTTTCCTAATTACACTTCAACATAAAATGTAATATATATTAACTATACACATATAAAACCTAAAAACTATTTTGAACTGTTCCCTAGTAAAAATTTAAATATTTTTTTTTAACCAAGCAAGTTTCCAAATAATAAACATTATGTTCAAATATATATATATATATATACATTATGTTCAAATATATATATATATATATATATATATATATATATATATATATATATATATATATATATATATATATATTATATATATAGAGGTTTAAATAAATATTTTTAATAAAATCTAAGTCTTGTTTTTTTTTTACCAACCAAAAAATAAGTTGATATGAGAAAAATTATGTGTATTATTAATTATTGTGTCTTTACTATTGTAATTAAACATCAATTGTATACCCCAAAAAAACAAAAGTATTTTTAGAAAGAAAAAGTAAACTCAAGAATAATATTTTTTAAAGTTTTTAAGTTAAATTTTAAAAACATTATTCACCATAACTTTTTTGAAGCTTATTCTTAATACCACCGTGGGGATTATTTATACAGGTGAGCAGGGAACACTGCAGAAGTAATTATGAGCAGTTAAACTGAACACTGCGAGTGCTGTGCATTAGATGCATAGCTTTAAGGATGAACCGGAACATAAATTTCATATCTTCCCAGTCACCAATAATGCTAGGCGTTACATACCTGGTAGATGTTTCTGTGTGTGATGAACAAAGATGTTAAATCCTGTCGCTATTATTGCTGAACACACAGCTATAAATGTCTGCGCAAGGTCAGAGTTCATCTATTAAACTGACTGTAGATTAATACATAGACGAAAACCTGGAGTATAGACATTATTCATTAGCATATTTGTGAGGATGCCTTTTTATAATTTCAGATTTTTGTCCAACTTTTCTTCAAGTTAACTTAGAAAGTGAGCTATTATTGTTACTGGTTAATTATCTAAACTACAGAAAAGTTATTGTTAGAAAAACTCAAATTTGAACAATTGGACTGATATTGATATGCAATAGTAATACTGCTGTTATGTTAGATTTACCTATGTTTGTTTTATCCGTGTGAAGTACACAATTGAAAGACTGAGATCTAGACAAAAATCAGGGTGCAAAAACAATCTTTAATACATCTGCAGACGGAGAGCAAAAATACACTGCATTAGGCGAAAATCAAAATCTGCTCCAACGAACACTTACTTTCTTTATTCACCTCTCTCTCAGCTAACAGAGGAGGAGATTTAATCTTCAAGGACCAAACAAAGGAAAACAGACTGACGGAACAGTTCAACTTTGTACACTCATTCACTATCATGTGGATGCAAAAACTAAACACTCTGTCTCCATGCAGGGAAGGCCAGTTGAAAGACAGCAAGTTCCCAGTCTGGGAAACTTCAGCTGACAAATGTTTTTCAGTTAGTTTGTATGCTCTCTGCAGCTGCACGGAAAAAAAAAAATCTTGACTATGATGGGTTGTTCATCATAGTCAAATTCACTTTCACTGCTTTTGTCAGAAACCCGTTAACCAGAAATCTGCTGGAGATGTCTCAGTACAGCAGTCCCACCCATGCTACGAACCTCCCGGGAAACCCCATTTTTAGCAGCACCTGGAAGAGTGCTTCCAGATGCACATCGAAAGCTTTCTCAAAATCTCAATTTAGGACTATCAGCCGAATGTTTCTGTCTTTCACAAAACAGATGGTGTCTCGGATCAGTACGAGGCTGTCCGTGATCTTCCTCCCCGGCACCGCGCAGGCTTGATCGGGGTGGATTAGATCCCCCAACACTCTGTGCATCCTGGCTACTAAAGGTTTACTAAAAAGTTTACAATCCACGTTTAAAAGGGTGATTGGGCCGCCAGTTTTTAAGATCTGTCTTGTATTTATATAAAAGCGTCACTATTCCTGTCAGGATCCAGGGTTGTTAGGTTCTCGCTGTAGGGGTTTTGGGTGCATGCACCACCTTTGTTTCCTCACCAGATGGCACCATCAGTTTGACGGAGGGCGTGGATGACGTCATCTCCCACACCGGCCTCTGATTAGCTCATCAGCGACAGGTTTTGAAGAGCGGTCTACCAGTCCTTCCGCGCCTGAGTGTTGCCCAGTTTTGGTACCTCCTAGCTACCTCGAGTTTGTACTCTGTGTTTTTCTCGCTGTCTGACCCGTCAGTGATTCCTTTGTCTACTCACCTCTCCGCAGTCTCCCCTTGGATTTCCTCGACTGGAAGACGCGCCGTTTCTCGCTCCTCGCGGATCCCGAGCCTACCTGTCTGCCCTCCAGCGCGCACACGCCCCACCCAAACCCCCAGAGAGACCGGACCCTGGACCCAGCAGCCACCCGCCGCTAGCTTTTCCCTGCTCGACTCAATGAGCCGATCGCTTCCTGATCCTTCCCTTCCCGTGGACCAGACCAGAGTTTTCATTCCCTGCCACTGTGTTTCGCTTCTTTCTCAAATAAATTCACTACATTTTCACCCACCGTATGTCTAATTTGTTGTGTTCTGCATATGGGCTAGAATCAAATCCTCCCAATATGACAATTCCTGTTCTAAAACTACCGTGGAGTTTGTCTAATTTGCTAAAATCAGTAAAAAACCACGATTAAATCCGGTGCTAAAAATGTCCCAAAATGTTAAATAAAATTCTAAAGGGAGTCTGTCTGAGCCTGGAGATTTTCCTTTTTTAAAACTTTTCAGTGACTGTAAAAGCTCTAAAAGGGTAAAATCCTGCTCTAAAAAACTAGTTTCTTTTCTACTTTTTTTCAAGAAAATCCAATGTTTCTTTTATAGTTTCCTAATTTACTGGTTTTTCTGCATATAATTCACCATAAAACTTTTCGATCACTTTTTTCTTCTATATTTGAAACAATGATTCCGTTTTCTGATTTCAGTTCAAAGATAACACTTTAATTATTTATTATTTCTTTAATAAGTATCTTGTACATTTTTCTCCTTCTATCTCTCTCTCTGCTTCTTAAAATGACTCATTTACTCTTTATTTTTGCTAAAATTCTCATTTATTTTTTAACTTTTATTTCTTTATTAAAATCCAAACCCTGTGTATTTAAAATATAATATCTCTGTAATCTATGCAGCCCCATCATGCTTCTCTGTTCTTTTTTCTTTTTCTTTTTCCTGCTTGTCGGAAAGAAAGTCTGGGTCCTACCTTTCACCATCTCCCACGACTGTGCTCGTGTGTCGTACACCTATACAGACCTTCCAAGTGTCTGCCATTCAGGGTACTGCTGCCGATACTGGCTTATCAGAACCTGGGCCTCCAGCAGGGAGAAGTTGAGTTTCCACAGACCTCTCCTGGTCGTTGCACCCGAAGGAAGTGAAAGCGTGCAGGACAGAAGGAGGTGATTGGAACAGAAAGCCAGTGAAAATCTAGGATCGGTTAGGGCATATGAAAAAAAAAAATAATAATTGATACGAGAGGCTTTAGAGCTATCATCACTGACCCAGGTGAAGCCCTCCGGGATGCTTGGTTCTAAAACAGTCCACTAGTTTAAAATCCCTAACTATTCTCTGTAATAAAAGCGATGTCTTGTTTACCTTAAAATCCTGTCTGGTTCTTTTGCTGCCTTTAACCAGCTGTATTTTAACCAGTTAAAATCCCCCACAATTATAAATGCTTTTCTTCCCAGCATGTGAGGCTGCAGTTCCTCTAAAAAGTCATACCTGTCGTGCTTGTCGTTAAAACCATAGATATTTAAGATGTTAAAATCCTGTCTGTTAAAATTCAGATTTGCTAAAACTGCTTGTCCGTCTCTCACCACGGTGCTGCCATTCACCAAGATGTGAGGATTGTTTATTTACTAACAAAGTCAAAGTCTTGTGTTTCAGAAGTTCCAAGAATGGGTGTCAAAAAAAGCTTTATCAAATTTTATTTGTAGAGCACATTTCAGCAGCAAGGCATTTCAAAGTGCTTTACATCATAAACACAAAAACACAAAGTCATGCAACATGGAATAAACAATACGTTGTTACATATTACATTTCAAATATAATTCTAAACATGTGTGTTTTTAGTTGAGATTTAAAGGAAGTCAGGGTTTCTGCTGTTTTAGTTTTCTGGAAATTTGTTCCATATTTTTGGTGCATAGTTGCTGAAAGCTGCTTCTCCTCTCTTGGTTCTGGTTCTGGGGATGCAGAGCAGAACCAGAACCAGAACCTGAGAGTCTGGAAGGTTGATACAACAACAGCAGATCTTTAATGTATTGTGGTGCTAAACCGTCCAGTGATTTATAAACTAACAACAGTATTTTAAAATCTATTCTTTGAGCTACAGGGAGCCAGTGGAGGGACTTTAAAACTGCAGTTATGTCTCTATCTTCCTGGTTTTATCTCAGCGAAAGAAGTGAAAATGGGCAATATATGAATTTTCAGCACTAAATTCAAATTTCAGCCTTATCATCTTTGAAACAGCATAGAAATGCTGAGTAGTAGTTCCGGTTGTTTGAAATCAGAACCAAGTCAAAATCTCGTGTTTCAGAAGTTTTCAGCAGTCGGCGTCCTTCTTATCCTTAAGTTCTGTGCACTCTGGCGTAGAATCTATTAAATGAACATATAGTTTTCTTCATAGTAGCAGTACAGGGATTCAAGCCATGATGGAGAGAAATCTTCACTGTCTGCTGGAAGGAGGTCACGGAACAGTGTGCAGTTCATCGCTGCTCTTTCCCAAAATGTTGTGTTTTCCCAATTTATGGCTGTATCTTGTATCAAGTCATCACATTCTTTTAAGATCGTCTTAACTGAGTTGTAATACTGCAGTTTTCAACCAAAGTCATTCTTAGCATATTGCCTGGAACCAAAGTCTACTTTTGCCTCAAAAGTGTTAATTTTTTCCTCAAATTCGTCTTCGTTTTCCATTTCCAGGGAATAAAAATAACACAATTAATGAAACATTTTTTGAGCAAAAGCAGTTATGATGGTGTAACTGGAATTAAAACACATACAAACCAAATAGTTTTTATGAGTTTAATTATTATGCTTTTGTAAAGTATTACAAGAAGCTACTTTATAAATATTTTAATTTTTTTGATGTTATTGCTTTATATCAAGTTACAAGAACATGATGGATGTATAAAATAAAAATGTTGAACATAAACATAGAAAGAATTATGTTTAATAAAATATGAAGCTTTACCCTCGAACAGATTTATACTTAGAATTAAATGTTATTCTTTATCTATTAATATAAAAGGAAAAAAAGAGGCATTTACAAATAATAATCAAATTTTTGGTAATTCATTTTGATTATAAGTAAGTCACTACTTTTAATAATCAGGTTTCTTTTGCAAATACAAACACTATTTGTTTATTGAAAAATGAAAGCTCGTCTGTAAATAACAACTAAACCTTTTTGGTAAATTGTTTAAAAGAAAACAGACAAAACTACAATAAAAAACCTGCTATAGTATAAATTTATTTATCTAATTGGAATAAGCACCTGGTATTAAAAATAAGCTTTAAAAAAGTTATGGTGAATAATGTTTTTAAAATTTAATTTGAAAACTTTAAAAAAATTCATATGAGTTAACTATTTCTATCTAAAAATACTTTTGCCTTTATTTGTATACAACTGATCTTTAATTACAATAGTAAATGCATAATAATTAATACACATAAGCAGGGCAGTGCAGAGTCCTTTGGAGGGGCAGGGGCTCAAATTTTTAAAAAAGGGCACATTGAACAAAAACATCGTACAACAACACAGCAACAACCCACATTAATCAATAATGTAATTGGTTCATACCATATCAATGCCATAATTTGGGGACAATGCAAAGCAGTCTATATTTTCCCCAACAAGTAAATTGTTGCTGATTCTGCTGCTGACAAAGCTGGAGGGCTGAGTTGATCTGAGACTGTAGCTGTTAAACAGACCAGAGGAGAGAAGGTCGCTGATTATGAAGTTATGAAATTAGCACATTTGCTGCCAATTTACCGATTAAGCCCTAATAATAGCTACTAATATCTATTTATTTTTGTGGTTTGAACAATTCCAGAGTTGATCTCAGTGAAATTAGTCAAAAATAAAATTAAGACGAAAAAAGCTTTATCACAGTGAAATAAGGCAAAAATGCAACAATGTGTAATTTTCAGCAAAATCTTAAGAGTTCAGTTTTATAATCTTTGAAACAGCATAGAAGTACTGAGAAGCAGTATATTTTAGTGTTTTGAACAATTCCAGTGTTGATCTCAGTGAAAGAAGTCAAAAAGTAAGACTAAGACAAAAAAAGCTTTCTCTCAGTGAAATAAGTCAAAAATGCACCACTGTGTAATTTTCTGCAAATTCATGAAAGTTCAGCTTCATTATCTTTGAAACAGCTAAGAAGTACTGAGAAGCAGTATATTTTAGTGTTTTGAACAATTCCAGTGTTGATATCAGTGAAAGAAGTCAAAAATAAGACTAAGACGAAAAAAGCTTTCTCTCAGTGAAATAAGTCAAAAATGCACCACTGTGAAATTTTCTGAAAATTCATGAAAGTTCAGCTTCATAATCTTTGAAACAGCTTAGAAGTACTGAGAAGCAGTATATTTGAGTGTTTTGAACATTTCCAGTGTTGATCTCAGTGAAAGAAGTCAAAAAGTAAGACTAAGACGAAAAAAGCTTTCTCTCAGTGAAATAAGTCAAAAATGCACCACTGTGTAATTTTCTGCAAATTCATGAAAGTTCAGCTTCATAATCTTTGAAACAGCTTAGAAGTACTGAGAAGCAGTATATTTTAGTGTTTTGAACAATTCCAGTGTTGATCTCAGTGAAAGAAGTCAAAAATAAGACTAAGACGAAAAAAGCTTTCTCTCAGTGAAATAAGTCAAAAATGCACCACTGTGAAATTTTCTGAAAATTCATGAAAGTTCAGCTTCATAATCTTTGAAACAGCTTAGAAGTACTGAGAAGCAGTATATTTTAGTGTTTTGAACATTTCCAGTGTTGATCTCAGTGAAAGAAGTCAAAAAGTAAGACTAAGACGAAAAAAGCTTTCTCTCAGTGAAATAAGTCAAAAATGCACCACTGTGTAATTTTCTGCAAATTCATGAAAGTTCAGCTTCATAATCTTTGAAACAGCTTAGAAGTACTGAGAAGCAGTATATTTTAGTGTTTTGAACAATTCCAGTGTTGATCTCAGTGAAAGAAGTCAAAAATAAGACTAAGACGAAAAAAGCTTTCTCTCAGTGAAATAAGTCAAAAATGCACCACTGTGAAATTTTCTGAAAATTCATGAAAGTTCAGCTTCATAATCTTTGAAACAGCTTAGAAGTACTGAGAAGCAGTATATTTTAGTGTTTTGAACAATTCCAGTGTTGATCTCAGTGAAAGAAGTCAAAAATAAGACTAAGACGAAAAAAGCTTTCTCTCAGTGAAATAAGTCAAAAATGCACCACTGTGTAATTTTCTGCAAATTCATGAAAGTTCAGCTTCATAATCTTTGAAACAGCTTAGAAGTACTGAGAAGCAGTATATTTTA